CCCCAAAACCCCAAAACCCCAAGATCTATGCATAAACCGTCATAAAGAGAAATTCATAAAATTAAAAAAGTTTAGAAATATGAGTGTTTTACTAGATTATATTTAAAGTGTTAATAATAAGACATATTTATTGAATTATTCATGGAGAAAGCTGATATTAGTATGTTTGAAAACTCTCAAAAAATACTGCTTGAAAGTGAGAGAAGACTTCTAATTGGAAATGAAGATTAGCAAGATACAATAGAAGGTGATCAAGAATAAGCAACTGATGGAAATATACTTTCAAACATGGCTTAAAAAGGTAGCACTTAGAATATTGACGGTCAAAGTCCTGCATTTGCTGATGAAGCTAGTGAGTCTATTAGTTCACCTAAAATCTATGATGAGCGTAAACGTACTGCTGATTTCAATAGAAATAAGGTTTTACCCTTACCTATATCAGAAATTCGTAAAGATTTGAGGCAAAAATTCTATAACTCAGAGTAAAACAGTAGTGATTTGGTTTTTCCTTGAGCAGCAAATAAAACTGAATCTCCAAAACCCTAGTTTGAAAGTAAGCATAATTAATATCGATTAGATCTTACGAATTTCTTATAGAATCATTTTCACTAGAGCATAATAAATAAAAAGTGCAATCAGATTTATCACCTAAGTATATTGGCAATCCAAAAATTGTGGTTTAAGATTAGTCTTTCAAAGTCACATAAGAGTTAATATTTGAGTAGTCAAGAATTCAAGAAACAAGCTCTGAAAATGAAGACGATGATGATATCGATGATAACTTGAACTCGTATGAAATTCAACCTGTATAGAATGATGATCTTACTGAACTAGTTAAGTCAATAAAAAGAGCAAGGCTTGATTCTCTCTTAGGTGTAGGCAGTAATTTTCTAAATTATCTCATAGAGGGAAATAGCAGCGAATCAATAAGCAAAAAGAAAAAAAACCCTGAAGGAAGCTATCACATATTTGATTTAGGTTACAAGCAATATAGAGACTGCACTCTATCTGATGTCATTAATTTCAAGAAAAAGCTTTTAATGAGACTAAGAAGAGCAACTCTGTTCTCAGAAAATTACAACGCACCAGATAAAAATCATTGTTTCATGATTATGTTTACCTCAATAGATGAAGTAAATCTTAATAAGATTTTGAAAGAATACAATTTGAATCCAATTTTGATCTGGGAAATAATTCTGAAGCAAAATTACGACAAAGTCGTTAAGATAGATGACTAGACAGCTTTTTACAATATTGAGATCATTGAGGAGAATAAGATTCATTAAAAGTTTATCATTAAAGTTATTCACTCGTTTAAACGAAACTTGATGTTCTTGTTTACTACTTGGACAGGCTAGGCACCAATATTACACTTGATGAGAAAAATATTTAAGTTTAAGAATCTGGAGGAAGTTCCTAAATTTAAAAGAAAGTCAATAATTTTCGACTTCCCTCCGATTATCGGTCTTCATATGGAAAGAGTGCCTAGTGAAAAGAGATCTCCAATGAATGAGGTTAAGCTCTCTTTTAATCCAAATTTTAATCATAGAGATAACCTTCTAGAGGTACATAAATAGAACAAATCAGTTCATTCTGACAGTGATGAAGACAACAGTCAATCAAGCAAAACAGATGATTCATAAGCATCGTAATATATTGGTTTTCCTAAAAAATAAGAGACCTTTGGAATTAAATCGAAAATATTACAAAATAAATTTAAGAATGCTGGTTTCTTAAATTGTGAAGACATATTATTTGGATTAATAGACGAGTCTATGAGAAAAATTGAACCAGTAATAATGAGATTCGAAAGGGAAGCGTAAGCACTTAATAATTTAAGCCTGAACCTAAGTTAGCATGAGAGACTTGACTATGTTAGAAGAAGTCACTTAGCTAAAGATGTGATGATGACATTCAAGAGTGAGCTTAAAACTAAAAAGCTATTTTTAAGCAAGCTCAAAAAGTAAAAGTTCATATCAAATAAATTCAAGCTAGTAATAAAATTCCTCGAAGGTAGACTACTTAACTGCGATATGATTATGATTAAATCTTAGAATCTTGTGACACTCTGCGACTAAACTTATGAAAATATGGTAGACAATAAGATAAATGAGCATTCAAACAATCTCAATCGCATAGCTTAGGGACTTGCAGCCGTTACTGTTATTTTCCTGCCATGCAATCTCATAAGTGGCTTTATGGGAATGAATGTAAAAGTTCCATTTGCTGAAGAAGATAGTGAAATACCATTTATTGTAATATTCGGAGGGACTATGCTTTTGGCTATCTTTCTCTACACATGTATGAAATGCTTAAAAGTGATTTGAATTCAGGAATTCTGTCAATTAAAATTTCAATAGCTGAATAAATTTATCTGAGAAGAACATTATGTGATGTCTTAGATAGCATTTAAAATTTAATATCTAACTAATTTAACTGAATATTATGCTATACATTTCTAATTTTCTTATCATACTTCTATAATTAGAAGTTCTTATTTCTGGGGTTTTGGGGTTTTGGGGTTTTGGGG